GTTGGCAGGTACACTGCATATAGGGCAGCTGCAGGGGCAGCAGGCTTGGTCTCTCCACCGTGATCGATGGGTAAAACCTACCAGGCCAAGGTGGCCAAGCCATTAGCAGTGGCAGCATGAGGCAGAAAAGGTTAAGAAGTCAGCCATCCGCTCCACACTACAAACACCAAACAGATAGAAGCAGCATTATCACTGTCAGATAGGACAGTAAACATACACAGGTATACACACGTACAGTACACACAACAGAAACTCCTTTGATCCCAATATGCAGTATATTTCTTAGCAACAAACTCATATGCTGTAGAGAGGATATAGAAAAGTACTGTGTACTGCCTGAATACCACAGTTAACAACTTAAACTTACATAACAAGTCTATGGGTCAGAATGAGAAATGTTATGAAGGTGAATGACATGATGAAAATAATAAATTAAAGTTATGGATTCTTCTGCTCAAGAGAGGCAACTCATATGAAGACTGTCGACCAGCAGCAAGGGGCATAGTGAGGGGAGGGGGAGGGTGTACAGTACCACCCCAAACATGTCCATGATCACCCCCTTGTCCGTTGGCGGGTGGAGGAAGGAGGGGGGCACGGGAGGAGAAAGGCATCTGCCTGTAAGGGAGGGTAGAGGAGGTAGATTGGTACACAATCCTATCCCTGAAAGATAATAATGCACAAATGCACACAAATTACATATAGAAAACAGCACTCAACCTGAGAGACATGGTTGAGAAAGAATAAACAAAGGTTTGAGACAAAAGAGGAGAAAGAATAATAGGAGACAAAGAGAGAGAGAAATAGAGAGAGGGGAGAGAGAGAGATGCGAAAAGATGAGCAGAGAAGAGCAGAAGAGAGAGAGTGAGAGAGGATGCAGAGAGCGAGAGAGAGAGAGAGAGGGAGAGAGAGGAGGAGAGAGAGAGAGGAGAGCACTGAGGCCCTGCTGAATAGCCTGCAGCAGACCCAGAGGAAATCATTCACAATTCCTTTTCTCACTGATCAAGGACAAAGAGACAACCGATGGAGAGATGTGAAATGGAGGAATGGAGGAGAGGAGGGAAAAAATGGCAAAGGGAAAGTGGGAGAGGGGAGGAGAGTAGCAAGGAGGAGAGCAGTGACGATGGCGCGAGTCTGGATACCTGCTCCAAACATGTCAACACTGGGGGCAGGGTCTGCTTTGGTGAAGCTTGTATCTGGCATGGAATCAAACATAGCTACAGGGCAAGAAAACACCCACCCACACAGACACACCACACACACACCAAACACATTAAGATGAGAACAGCAGAACACAAACACTGATTAATTAGATGAACAATTGTGATTGAAAGTCAATGCAGGAGCAGAAAGGCAAGCAGAATGCATCCAAGCTGAAAGGAAGCAGAGGAACAGCGATATGTGCAAGTTAGCCTCACAAAGACAAAAGACACCCAGGAAAAATGCAGTCGACTGAAAAAATGCAGGAGAGGAGAGGACACGGATGCAGAGTAGAGGACATGGACGAAAGAGGACAAAAGAAAAGGTTATAAAGTACCACACACCACGTGTAAACATTTACCACTGAAGAGGTCTATTGATGGGGTGGTGGGGGGTATAGTGCTGTGATGGTGGATGAGGGGGCAGGAGGGGGGCGCCACTGAGTTAAAGCATTTGTTCTCCATAGGCATCACGGCAAACAGGTCCAGCCCTGGATATACTGCATCTGAGCTGCAACCAGAGGGGGCAAAGGGGTCTTTGGGAGGAGAGAACTGGGGGAGGGATGACAAGGGGAGATGAGGATGTTACAACAACGACCATAACACAGTGTGAAATGACAAGAGCTATATTCTGTTAAATAGGGAAGAGGAGTAGCTGCATTTGGCTGAGATTCTGAGAGAGAAGATACAAGCTCAGTTAAGAATGCACAGCTCCATATTCTTTAGAAACAAAAAGTAAATGTAAAGAACTATGGAAGTACTGTATATGATCAAGAGATAATCTGGAAAATATGCATGTCTGATGAAAAATGATAGGAAAATAACATGATTTTGTGAAAATAGGGGGTAGCAGGAAAATATTGGAAAAAACATATTATTAAGTATTCATCCTCTCTCATTATACTCCCTAGTATACCAATAACACACCAGATTGTACAGAGTGTAAACAAGGAGCTTGCAGATGCATTTTGGGATAGAGTTTACAGAAGGAAAGAAAGCCCCAGGCGAAATCTAGCATGTAGTGCTCAACTACTGTTCTCATAGCAACCTCAGCACCAATCTCCATGGGTAACAACATCAGCCATGCCTAGAAACAGCCAGCAGCATCACATCTCTAGGGAACCTAGCTACACCCGCTCAAAACAATGGGATCAACTGTGGAAACACACTCTCCATATACAAAAGCATATGGATGCACCTGAGCACTGGAACACAGCCAAACACACACACACATACAGTACGTACAACCACAAAAATATACACACAGCCATTTACACAGACAGACGCCACACAGTCACAGATATACATGTCCTGTAACCCACCGGCTGCAGCGTCAGCGGCTGGGGTTGGCGTGGAGGTCGGAGCTCCGCCCATCAGCAGAGGCATCAGAGGTGGGAACAGGGGTCGAAAATGCATCTGATACCCAACACACACACACAGACCACAGAGAAAGAGGTAAAGAGAGAGAGATACGGAGAGACAGAACAGGGAAAAGAAACACAAGCCAGACAAGAAAGAGATAATGAGTCAGTAAAGGAACTTCAGAAAAGGAAGGTCAAGAAGCCACTAAAAAAAAGATAGACTGTGCCTGTAGAGTTTAGAAATACTACTTTTACGTTATTCGTGTATTTAATACAGTTGAAGTCGGAAGTTTACATACACCTTAGCCAAATACATTTAAAATCAGTTTTTCACAATTCCTGACATTTAATCGTAGTAAAAATTCCCTGTCAGTTAGGATCACCACTTTATTTTAAGAATGTGAAATGTCAGAATAATAGTACAGAGAATGATTTATTTCAGCTTTTATTTATTTCATCACATTCCCAGTGGGTCAGAAGTTTACATACACTCAATTAGTGTTTGGTAGCATTGCCTTTAAATTGTTTAACTTGGGTCAAACGTTTCGGGTAGCCTTCCACAAGCTTTCCACAATAAGTTTGGTGAATTTTGGCCCATTCCTCCTGACAGAGCTGGTGTAACTGAGTCAGGTTTGTAGGCCTCCTTGCTCACACACGCTTTTTCAGTTCTGCCCACACATTTTCTATAGGATTAAGGTCAGGGCTTTGTGATGGCCACTCCAATACCTTGACTTTGTTGTCCTTAAGCCATTTTGCCACAACTTATGAAGTATGCTTGGGGTCATTGTCCATTTGGAAGACTCATTTATGACCAAGCTTTAACTTCCCGACCAAGCTTTAACTTCCTGACTGATGTCTTGAGATGTTGCTTCAATTTATCCACATAACTTTCCTTCCTCATGATGCTGATCTATTTTGTGAAGTGCAACAGTTCCTCCTGCAGCAAAGCACCCCCACAGCATGATGCTGCCACCCCCGTTCTTCACGGTTGGGATGGTGTTCTTTGGCTTGCAAGCAACCCCCTTTTTCCTCCAAACATAACAATGGTCATTATGGCCAAACAGTTCTATTTTTGTTTCATCAGACCAGAGGACATTTCTCCAAAAAGTACGATCTCTCAGTTCCAAACCGTAGTCTGGCTTTTTTTTATGGCGGTTTTGGAGCAGTGGCTTCTTCCTTGCTGAGCGGCCTTTCAGGTTATGTCGATATATGACTAGTTTTACTGTGGATTTAGATACTTTTGTACCTGTTTCCTCCAGCATCTTCACAAGGTCCTTTGCTGTTGTTCTGGGATTGATTTGCACTTTTCGCACCAAAGTACGTTCATCTCTAGGAGACAGAACATGTCTCCTTCCTGAGCGATATGATGGCTGCGTGGTCCCATGGTGTTTATACTTGCGTACTATTGTTTGTACAGATGAACGTGGTACCTTCAGGCGTTTGGAAATTGCTCCCAAGGATGAACCAGACTTGTGGAGGTCTACAATTATTTTTCCTGAGATCTTGGCTGATTTCTTTTGATTTTCCCATGATGTCAAGCATAGGGGCACTGAGTTTGAAGGTAGGCCTTGAAATACATCCACAGGTACACCTCCAATTGACTCAAATTATATCAATTAGCCTATCAGAAGCTTCTAAAGCCATGACATCATGGCTTCAGCTGTTTAAAGGCACAGTCAACTTAGTGTATGTAAACTTCTGACCCACCGGAATTGTGATACAGTGAATTATAAGTGAAATAATCTGTCTGTAAACGATTGTTGGAAAAATTACTTGTGTCATGCACAAAGTAGATGTCCTAACCGACTTGCCAAAACTATAGTTTGTTAACAAGAAATTTGTGGAGTGGTTGGAAAACGTGTTTTAATGACTCCAACCTAAGTGTATGTAAACTTCCGACTTCAACTGTATATGGTACTATACTGTTAGATGAAATAATTATGTCATTTCAGGTATACAATATTTAATATATTCAATGAATATACTTAATATCAAAAGGTATTTTATTGCACAAAGAGAGAGATACTCTTTAACTGAGCTATCTTCTGATTACTGTAACAAATTCAGTTTACATTAGTTACAAAACATTTACTTTGTGGCATGAATGATTGACAGGTGAAGGGGTGAATGAGAATACAGAAAGGAGGCACGGCAAGGTCTTTGGATGGTGGGCTTTAGCTACAACTAAACTATAAAGCGGTAACTAGGTCTGGCACAGTGTGAACCCAGAAGCAAAGCAAGATGTCTCTTAGGCCCGGGTTTCCCAAACTCGGTCCTGCCCCCCCCCCCCCCCCCCCCTCCCCCCGGGTGCACGCTTAGGTTTTTTTCACTAGCACTATACAGCCGATTCAAATAACCAACTCATCATCAAGCTTAGATTATTTGAATCAGCTGTGTAATGCTAGGGCAAAAACCAAAACATGCACCCAGGGGGGAACCCAGGTCCGAGTTTGGGAATCCCGGTCTTAGGCGGTAATAAAGAACGTGACTCTGATTGATAGATTGGCTTTTCTCTGAAGTTGAGGAAAAGCTTTCAGACTATCAAACAAAAAGAAGCATGTGAAAAATGTAGGAGTAGCATGTCTGAGTGTGTCTACAAGTGTGAGCGTGCTTGTCTCTGTGTGTATATCTGTGTCAGTGTCAATGTGCATGACATGTACAGAATGCATACCAGTATGTGTACGTTCGTGTTGACTGACATGTTCTGCCCACATGGTGTTTGTTTTGGGGTATGTGTCACTGTGTGTATGTGCATGTAGAGAACACTATATGTTCTGTGTGAATGTGGCGGGTTGGTTGGGGTTGAGCTGTCCAGCAGAGATTCTGTTGTAGAGAATCCTCCAGAAGCCCACTGACCTCCCAGCAGATCCATATTCGTCGCGCCGGGGGTGGGGGCGGCGGCCGCACTAGGGGGAGGAGCTAGAGAGACTCCTGGCTCCGCAGCTGCAGGGGTGGATGTTACAACCAGCGGGAGAGGGGGCAGGATCTACAGCGAGGGTGGGGTCAGGAAGCATGGACTCGCCCATTTCTGCAGGTACCCACAAGGTGTACCAACCAATCCCAAAACAAGGTACCAAAACAACCCCATGAATCAACCCAAAATACCCCATAGGAACCAAAGCAACCAAAAAAATCCCATTAGAACCAAATGAAGGCATCAAATCAACCCAATTTCAAAGAAACAACCGACAAAAACATCCCATTAGAACCAAAGCAACCAAATAATCCCCAAAATCAACCCCAGAATAAAGTCCCCGTATGAACCAAAACCAATAAGGGAATGAGGGGAAGGGAAAGAAAGAAGAGAGAAACAGAGAGAGAGAGAAAGAGACTACTTCCTTAGACTAGAGCAACACTATGAAACACAGTGGGAGATCTAGAGGAACTGACCCACTCTGTTAACACACTAGAGAGGTTAATGCCAGGGGCACTGTGGGAAAGCACTCACCTGATCCAAGGAGGTCTGTGGCAGCATCCCCAGAAGAGCATGGGAGAAGGTGTTGGGGGAAAATGCATGTAGACTTTTAATTAGATAATGTGACTACTTTTAATTAAGAATTAAGCTATGTATCAAGTTTTGATGTGGGATATTACCTCCCCAGGACGTAGGGGCTGCAGATGCTCCTACTGACGGACCAGAGGAGGAGAGAGGGTCCAGATCTAAGAGAGAACTAGAGTGAGGTAGAAGGGTGGAGACAGATGGAGAAATGGTGGCAGAGAGAGAGGATGAAAGGGGAAATACAGTCTCCCTTATTCACCATTTTATGAAATGGATGGAACAGATAGAATCCTAAAATGCAAGAACTGAGGAAATCGCTGAGGAGGTGAGGTAAATGCTGTGGTAGACAGAGGAAGTGGGACACTCACTCGGTGGCTTCTTCAGGTGGCGGCGCTAGGGTGGGCACGGCGGCTGCAGATTTGGCGGGGGTGGAGGTAGGGGACACGTTATTGGTAGGGGACCCCTGGAATACAGAGAGGGAAACCCCTATTTGTATCCATGTGTTGACATACAAGCAGAAACAGAAAGGTGGTGATATACAAAGGGGAAATAATGTTTAATCTTCCACTCACCTTTGTTGGAGACCTGAAAGAGAAAGAGAATAGTTAATATGACAATTTCATCACAGCTAGATATCACCTTTCAGAGCTGAAATCATATACATTTAAATTACTTATTTTCATGACTACTATAAACTCATCTGACAAACCCCAAAGAAAGTGTTTATGCTCACCCTTCACTGTGATCCCCAATGATGAACAGAAAGGAACAAAGAGAGAATAACGATTAAAGTAAAAGATAATAATGGAAAACTGTATCCAGGACACTATAGTGCTGGGACAGTATAGAGCCCAAGTTATGAGTCTCCCTCTAGTTTCTCTCACCCTGTCATTTCTCATGTACTATTTTCTCTGTGCAAAGACACCTATGGAGACATTTCCGCATTTTAGCTCTTTCAGAAATGGGGTGGTTAGAGACAGGGTCCTCTTACCCCTTCTTCCCCTCCAAGCTGTTCATGTGTGTCTCCAGAGACTCCAGGATACTGCTGGGAGCCTGCGGGTCCAAGAAGAGCGAACCAATCAGAAACACAGAAACTGCAGGTTTATGGCACTGAGTTCCTCATTCCGCTGCATGCCAACACTTAAAATAACGCAACATCCAATTCTATTTCTATGGCAGCACCACTCCAGATCCTTAGTTTTTAACTCACCCCACTATCCCACCTTTGTATAAACTCAATGTCCTGTAGAATGAAGTGTTCAGGAACATTTTACTTAAACTCTACAATCTTTTGTGCACATGGAAGTACACACACATATGCAAACACACACACGCACACATACACTGCACTCAGAAGTGTCAGTCTGTAGAATGATCCCATGCCAACACCCCATCCTCCAAACAGGCACTCTGCCAAGCCACCCTGTGTCTCTATGGTTACCGGGTCCTCGATAGGCTTAAAGGGACAGTCCGAGTCGTCCGAGTCTACTAGGTCCGTCACCACTCCAGGGTGCAGACACTGGGATCGCGGGGGGAGATTATGATGGATGAGACATCTCTGTGTGTGTGTGTGTGTGTTACAACTATTTCATCATCCTTCCAGAGAGAAAGAACAAAAACAAGTGACTTACATAGTTGATGTCAGGAATATCATTTTTGTCCACTCCCACTGTCTGTGGAACAAAACACACACAAGGGACAATTTCACAACCATATCAGTGCATCATTCTATTTGAAGTAGAGACATACACTGTTTATGAGGAAGCACTCTGTTAGTTTCATTTGGAGTTACTTAGAATACGCCCTAATCCGTTAGGAAGTTTCCTTTACCTCAGCAAGCTTCACAAACTCTCCGATCTTGGTGACCCTGGTCAGGAACCTCTTATAGATCTCCAAGGCCTCCTTGCAGTCGCTCTTCTTCATCTTAAAGTATTTCTCTACAGACATTTGACAGTCGTTATGAAAAAGAGCATCTGCTAAATGGCTACATGGTGAAAGGAAGTAATTTATATTTTAATAGGTGACAAAGAGTGTGTCTCAAATGGCACCCTATTCCCTTATACTTTTGACCAGGGCCCATAGTGCTCATAGGGCTCTGGTGAAAAGTAGTGCACTATATAGGAAAAACTGTGGCATTTGGGATGCACCCAATGAAATGTCTAGCTCACCTAATAGATTGATGACCCCATCATTGTAGGAGGCAAACAGCTTGACCAGATCCTTGAAGAGCAGCAGGAACCCTGCGTTGATGATAGGGTTATTCAGCTCCTTGGGATGGACCTGTAGTTTAAAAGAAGAGCATCAATTAACTAAATTAATTAATTAATTATTTAAACTCCAGCAATATTCTGCTGTGCCGAAACATCAACAATTGTACACCCATACAGAAAGAAAAAGGTCAATAGAACAAATAGCATCATTGCTATTGAGAGAGAGAGAGAGAGAGAGAGAGAGAGAGAGAGAGAGAGAGAGAGAGCTCAAAGACATTGCTCCTGCATTTTTAACAAAAAATATAGATTTAGAGTTAGATAAAGTAGGATTTTTGGCAGGGACACATACAGGATGCTACCCTCCACAACATGACCTTTATTCCAAACCAAAACTCCAAACCTACAACCTGATTTTGGACGGAATTACCTGGAAAGCTTTCTACTACCAAGGATTACTATTCTCAAACTATACAGCAAATGCTCTGGAAAACAAACAGAAACCTGAAAACACCATCCAACCTGGAACTGAGTGAGTAATGTTTAGTATGAAGCTATTTTTCACTTTCAAAAACCAAGAAGAAAAATTCATTACAATGATATATTTTATATTATAAGGACTGAATTCTAAGGCTACCAAGCTTACGCTTGCTACAAAGAGATACAATTTCAATTAGCACTGACGTGTGAAGTGAGAGGTGTCAAAGCCCTTGAGCCCAACAATGGCAGGAGAGTCGTACAGTCTACCCCAACTAGAGGCCTTAGAAGAGGCCTTAGAAGCACCCCCCCCACTGTTCAGAGGTCATTAAAATACAGTACCCTCTGAATGTAAAAAACGACAAGACACGAAAAGAGTACAAATTGAAACTTCTTTTGGGGAAGCACGAGACACTTTTTGCTGATTTGTATAAAAATGGGAACATAAGCAACCTTATCTTCCACACAGACCATCCCCTTGGCATGGCACAGTGCCATACTAGCACACTACCCCTCTGTTAAGAGGGGGGGGTGTTAGCGACGGGTGGAAACTCAGGATACTGGACAACGAGGACTCTGAGTCGTCTAATATTAATCTCTATAAATCTGGAACCGTTTTGGTTCAAGGCAACACCAAACAGTTCCAGCTGGACTTTCACCTAATCAAAGAAATAGCTCAGCAGGAGAAGCTGTCCCTTGAGAAAGATACCCCTACCCTGAGCGGGTCAGACCAGACCTCTTCATTAAATAACCCCACAGAGCAACCCCAAGCAGAAACTCAACTTCCCAGCACAGAGTACTACTCCCTCATTGAAATGAAGGATAAATTCACCCAGCTGGAGGTAAGGCAGGTGGAGCTGGAACAGCAGGTGAACACACTCCAGTCAGCACAGACCCAGACAACAGTCCAGCACAACAACACCCCCTTAACTAGACCTGGAGAGCTGCAGGTGGAGAGAGACATGTCTGCACTCTGGACTGTGGTGAGACAACATCAACAGGAGAAAGAGCAGGAGCAGGAGAAGAACAGAGCACTAGAGGAGAGGATCAGAGTGCTGGAGGAGAAGGTGAGAACGATGACGGGTGACATTGAACAACCCATTAGAGAACAGCCCACCTCAGATCCTGGCCAAAGTCTCGACACCGCAGCAGAACAGTACACCCTAGACCCTGACCATAGCCTCGACATCACACCCAGACAAACAAATGAGGAACCCCAAGCCCTGGGAACCCCAACCCCTCTGAGCAACCCCCCAGTCAGACACCCTGATAGCCCTCATGACGACCCCCCCACACCCACTGAGGACATACACAAGCCACAGATTGTACTCCTTATGGACTCAAACGGGAAATACATACAAGAAAATAAACTTTTTCCAAAACACACAGTGTCTAAACTCTGGTGTCCAAATACCCAGCGCGCCCTAGACCTTCTGTCTAAGACCGACTAGGATCACCCAGCCACATAATAATACACACAGGCACAAACGACCTGAGAACACAGCAGGAAAGGGTGGCCACATCACTCAAGGGCGTGATAGAAAAAGCTTCTTCTACTTTCCCCAACGCACAAGTGGTTATCTCAACCCTGTTACCACGAAAAGACTTCCACCCTGCTACCATACAGCGGGTAAACGCAAGTATTTCCCGGGACTGTGCATCAAAACCAAATGTCTTCCTGGCCCACCACTCCACCCTGGACGTGAACAGCCTTTACGACCAGGTCCACCTATACAAGGCAGCAGTGCCCACCTTCGCCCGGACCCTAAAGGATATCGCCCTCAACCGCAGACCCAACACCTCACACAGGAGCAACAGATCAACAGACACCCCGCCCAGACCAGCGAGACACTCTCCCAGACCTGCGGGACCCCCCCCAGGACCTACACATAGAGGACCCCCGCAGAGAGGACCTACATCCAGACCACAGCACCATCAACCACATCTACACCCCCACCCCAACCAATTAACTCCCCCCCAAGTCAACCATGCCCACACCCCATTTAGGCCCCCTCAGATCAGACCTATGCCCCTCCTACCCACCCCAAGCCCCCCACTCCCACAAAGAGGGCCTCAACATGAAAGTCACACATACGCCCAGGCCGTGAGCAGGCAAACAGGCCCAACACCCACTCTTACACTAGCCCAAGCCAATGGCATGTACAAGATGCTCAGCAGGCTCTGCTCACAATTACTGGCCTGAGGCCAAACCACACAACCAACAACATTAGACACTTTATGGAACACAAAGCCTTCACTATTTCATCCTGGAATATCCAAGGCCTGAGGTCATCTGCCTTTGGCCTAAAGAGCAGGAATCTGGACTTCACCAAAGAAATCGGAAATACAGACATTGTCATCCTACAAGAAACATGGTATAGAGGAGACGGACCCACTGGTTGCCCTCTAGGTTACAGAGAGCTGGTAGTCCCATCCACCAAACTACCAGGTGTGAAACAGGGAAGGGACTCAGGGGGTATGCTAATTTGGTATAGAGCAGACCTAACTCACTCTATTAAATTAATCAAAACAGGAACATTTTACATTTGGTTAGAAATTCAAAAGGAAATTATCTCAACTGAGAAAAATGTCCTCCTGTGTGCTACCTATATCCCCCCACTAGAATCCCCATACTTTAATGAAGACAGTTTCTCCATCCTGGAGGGGGAAATCAATAATTTCCGGACCCAGGGACATGTACTAGTCTGTGGCGACCTAAATGCCAGAACTGGACAAGAACCTGACACCCTCAGCACACAGGGGGACAAACACCTACCTGGAGGTGACAGCATTCCCTCCCCCATATGCCCCCCTAGGCACAACTACGACAACATAACCAACAAAAATGGGTCACGACTCCTGCAGCTCTGTCGCACACTGGGTATGTACATAGTCAATGGTAGGCTTCGAGGGGACTCCTATGGTAGGTACACCTATAGCTCATCTCTTGGCAGTAGTACTGTAGACTACTTTATCACTGACCTCAACCCAGAGTCTCTCAGAGCGTTCACAGTCAGCCCACTGACACCCCTATCATACCACAGCAAAATCACAGTCTACTTGAACAGAGCAATACTCAATCATGAGGCATCAAAGCCAAAAGAACTGAATAATATTAAGAAATGCTATAGATGGAAGGAAAGTAGTGTTGAAACCTACCAAAAAACAATTAGGAAACAACAAATTCAATCCATTCTAGACAACTTCCTGGACAAAACGTTCCACTGTAATAGTGAAGGTGTAAACTTGGCAGTAGAAAACCTAAACAGTATATTTGACCTCTCAGCTTCCCTATCAAATCTAAAAATCTCTAACAGAAAACCAAAGAAAAGTAATAACAGTGATAAATGGTTTGATGAAGAATGCAAAAACCTAAGAAAGAAATTGAGAAACCTATCCAACCAAAAACATAGAGACCCAGAAAACCTGAGCCTACGCCTTCACTATGGTGAATCACTAAAACAATACAGAAATACACTACGGAAAAAGAAGGAACAGCATGTCAGAAATCAGCTCAATGTAATTGAAGAATCCATAGACTCTAACCACTTCTGGGAAAATTGGAAACCACTAAACAAACAACAACACGAAGAGCTATCTATCCAAAACGGAGATGTATGGGTAAACCACTTCTCCAATCTTTTTGGCCCTATAACAGAGAACAAACAGCAAAAAAATATACATGATCAAATGCAAATCTTAGAATCAACTATTAAAGACTACCAGAACCCACTGGATTCTCCAATTACATTGAATGAACTACAGGATAAAATACAAACCCTCCAACTCAAAAAGTCCTGTGGTGTTGATGGTATCCTCAATGAAATGATAAAATATACAGACCACAAATTTCAATTAGCTATACTTAAACTCTTTAACATCATCCTTAGCTCTGGCATCTTCCCCAACATCTGGAACCAAGGACTGATCACCCCAATCCACAAAAGTGGAGACAAATTTGACCCCAATAACTACCGTGGGATATGCGTCAACAGCAACCTTGGGAAAATCCTCTGCATTATCATTAACAGCAGACTAGTTCATTTCCTCAGTGAAAACAATGTACTGAGCAAATATCAAATTGGCTTTTTACCAAATTACCGTACGACAGACCACGTATTCACCCTGCACACCCTAATTGACAAACAAACAAACCAAAACAAAGGCAAAGTCTTCTCATGCTGTGTTGATTTCAAAAAAGCTTTTGACTCAATTTGGCATGAGGGTCTGCTATACAAATTGATGGAAAGTGGGGTTGGGGGAAAAACATACGACATTATAAAATCCATGTACACAAACAACAAGTGTGCGGTTTAAAATTGGCAAAAAACACACACATTTCTTTCCACAGGGCCGTGGGGTGAGACAGGGATGCAGTTTAAGCCCCACCCTCTTCAACATATATATCAACGAATTGGCGAGGGCACTAGAACAGTCTGCAGCACCCGGCCTCACCCTACTAGAATCTGAAGTCAAATGTCTTCTGTTTGCTGACGATCTGGTGCTTCTGTCACCAACCAAGGAGGGCCTACAGCAGCACCTAGATCTTCTGCACAGATTCTGTCAGACCTGGGCCCTGACAGTAAATCTCAGTAAGACAAAAATAATGGTGTTCCAAAAAAGGTCCAGTTGCCAGGACCACAAATACAAATTCCATCTAGACAACCGTTGCCCTAGAGCACACAAAAAACTATACATACCTCTGCCTAAACATCAGCGCCACAGGTAACTTCCACAAAGCTGTGAACGATCTGAGAGACAAGGCAAGAAGGGCCTTCTATGCCATCAAAAGGAACATAAAATTTGACATACCAATTAGGATCTGGCTAAAAATACTTGAATCAGTTATAGAACCCATTGCCCTTTATGGTTCTGAGGTCTGGGGTCCGCTCACCAACCAAGAATTCACAAAATGGGACAAACACCAAATTGAGACTCTGCATGCAGAATTCTGCAAAAACATCCTCCGTGTACAACGTAAAACACCAAATAATGCATGCAGAGCAGAATTAGGCCAATACCCCGCTAATTATCAAAATCCAGAAAAGAGCCGTTAAATTCTATAACCACTTAAAAGGAAGCGATTCCCAAACCTTCCATAACAAAGCCATCACCTACAGAGAGATGAACTTGGAGAAGAGTCCCCTAAGTAAGCTTGTCCTGGGGCTCTGTTCACAAACACAAACAGACCCCACACAGCCCCAGGACAACAACAACAACAACACAACTAGACCCAACCAAATCATGAGAAAACAAAAAGAGAATTACTTGACACATTGGAAAGAACAAACAAAAAAACAGAGCAAACTAGAATGCTATTTGGCCCTAAACAGAGAGTACACAGTGGCAGAATACTTGACCACTGTGACTGACCCAAACTTAAGGAAAGCTTTGACTATGTACAGACTCAGTGAGCATAGCCTTGCTATTGAGAAAGGCCGCCGTAGGCAGACCTGGCTCTCAAGAGAAGACAGGCTATGTGCACACTGCCCACAAAATGAGGTGGAAACTGAGCTGCACTTCCTAACCTCCTGCCAAATGTATGACCATATTAGAGACACATATTTCCCTCAGATTACAGCGATCCACAAAGAATTCGAAAACAAACCCAATTTTGATAAACTCCCTTATCTACTGGGTGAAAAAACCACAGTGTGCCATCACAGCTGCAAGATTTGTGACCTGTTGCCACAAGAAAAGGGCAACCAGTGAAGAACAAACACCATTGTAAATACAACCCATATTTATGTTTATTTATTTTCCCATTTGTACTTTAACTATTTGCACATTGTTACAACACTGTATATATACATAATATGACATTTGAAATGTCTTTATTCTTTTGAAACTTCTGAGTGTAATGTTTACTGTTAATATTTATTGTTTATTTCACTTTTGTTTACTATCTACTTCACTTGCTTTGGGCAATTTTAACACACGTTTCCCATGCCAATAAAGCCCTAAATTGAATTGAATTGAATTGAGAGAGAGAGAGAGAGAGAGAGAGAGAGAGTAGAGAGGAGAGAGAGAGAGATGAGAGAGAGAGAGAGAGAGAGAGAGAGAGAGAGAGAGAGATAGAGAGAGAGAGAGAGAGGAGAGAGAGAAGAGAAGAGAAGAGAAGAGAAGAGAAGAGAAGAGAAGAGAAGAGAAGAGAAGAGAAGAGAAGAGAAGAGAAGAGAAGAGAATGTTACACAGGAACATAAACAGTATTCTTTGTGGCCTGACATATAGTACACTGGTCAGCTAATGACCATAAGTCATCAGGACACAAGTCCCAGTCAGCCAGCCAGACAGACAGACAGACAGCCAGACAGACAAGTAGTAACCAAATCAATGATGACCAGCATGTCCAACTCACATCAAACTCCAGCAGTGTGTCGATCTGCGTCTGCAGGACGGGCATTCCTTTCAACAGCTTTTCTGGAGTCATTGTCCTCATCACCCCCTCAGCACTGCGGAGGAAACACACAGGGGAGACCATGATGAGGGCCTTGTGGATGAGGTGAATGACAGTATGAGGTGGGCCTCATTAATGAGGTGAATGACAGTATGAGGTAGGCCTCAGGGATGAGGGCAATGACAGTATGAGGGCCTCAGGGATGAGGGGAATGACAGTATGAGGGCCTCAGTGATGAGGTGAATGACAGTATGAGGGCCTCAGTGAGGAGGTGAATGACAGTATGAGGGCCTCAGTGAGGAGGTGAATGACAGTATAAGGGCCTCAGTGATGAGGTGAATGACAGTATGAGGGCCTCAGTGATGAGGTAAATGACAGGTGGGTGTCAGTGATGAGGTGAATTACAGTATGAGGTGGGCCTCACTGATGAGGACCTCAACAATGGGGATGTAAAAGGATTGAGAGACAGGGAAGTGAGTGACGCACCCCTTTTTGACTTTGGTGAAGTCAAAAGCCATCTGGCGGTAGGCGAAGGCCCTTTCATTGAGGTAGCGGCCATAACGTCTGATGAACGTAGACATGTCATAGCCTGAGGAACGAAGAGAGCATCACATTCACATCACACCAAACATATAGCTCCTGATAAATCTAATGGCTTATGACTAAATGCATGTGCTAAACTCATACATTGTTTCATGAAGAAATACGTTTATTTAATGCTATAACACATTAAGGACAGTATTTTATCTTATGATTGATCTTATCTATCAGATAACTTCAGGTTCTTCAGTTTTCTAAGTTATGCATCTGATTTTAGGGGAGTTTTGAAGGGGATTGAAGGAGAGGGTTGAATAGCATTTTTTCTTGTTTACTTTAGGATTAGAGACAGTAGGATGAGTCAAGGGATCTATAATGAGACCAGGGCAAGACACTGGAGACAAGTGCCGGACATCGGAATCCTAGGGACATGAAGCAGTTTAGTGTGTGTGTGTGTGTGTGTGTGTGTGTGTGTGTGTGTGTGTGTGTGTGTGTGTGTGTATACGTGCGTATGTGCTAGGCTTGGGCGGTATACCGTATACCGTATACTGGGGTAATTGGGAAAAGCCACGGGATGGTTTTTCAATACTGTCAAAACTATTTATTAGAAGTAAAAAAAAAAAAAAACTACTTTTTAAGTTAATACCTGCAGTCAACTTGTGCAATACGTTAGGAGATAACGCAGATTGTGTTCTTCGTTTCACCTGTCACATTATTTAACATTATGAAGCTTACCATAGTTCCCCAGAACAGTTGAGCCAGTCACGTGTTTGCTTGTAAATAGCACAAAGGGAGAGTCCATCTGTGTATTTGGTTTAACTTGCTAGTTATCTCAGTAAGTGGCTGAATTAATAAGGACACGGGGCATCATATAGTGTTAGCTTTCTGCCATGTTTGAGAAGTCAAAGCTCTTTGGATGTGTTATCTGTACAGCTGCCACTGCTGCTTTCTTGATTTCCTTGCGTTTATTTTTTATTCTTTCCATTCTCGGCCAGTCTGCTCCTCCCCCCATTCTCCATCTGAACAGAGCAGGCAGGCCCGTTGCCCTAGCAACTCCACACAGACACAGCGTGTACACATACTGTTCCAGAGCCAGTACTGTTCGTCCTTCAGACAAGCATGGGCGTGCAGGTAAGCTTAGTGGGTAAGAGCGTTGTGCCAGTAACTGAAAGTGTCCGCTGGTTCTAAGTCCCCGAGCCGACTCAGGTGACAAAATCTGTCGATGTGCCCTTGAGGCAAGGCACTTACCCCTAATTGCTCCTGTAAGTCGCTCTGGATAAGAGCGTCTGCTAAAATGACTAAAATGTAAATGTAGCAAATGTCACAACTTTGTTCATTTGTGCACAATGCCTCCTCTTCCAAACCCATTTTTGCTGTTAAATGTTTTTCCCAAATACAAATGACATTAGGGGGAAGCTCTTCTCCTATTCTTTGTTTTAACCCAATGATCGCTTTCTCTTGTGCCCTTGCTTTTATTTTTTTTCCTCTTTCCTTTCTGCCCTCTATTGATCACTATTTGTTTGGCTTTAATGGAAGGAATCCCCCCCTTAATAAAAACGCCCCAATCTTTTTTGGGTGTTTTTAGCCTTTGTCATAAAGGTAAGGTAAAACGGTGGAGGAGGACGGATGAACTTAAGAAAATTGGGATAACAAACCCAGTTGCGGGAAGGTTGAATTTTGTAATAAATACAACATACTATAAAAGTTTTGTGGGGAACATTGAGAGTTTTGCCCTTTCATGTAAATACCAGGCCCTGTTTTCCTTTTTTTCCCTTCCCCAAAAAGCCTGTTTTCTTCCTACCTCCACTCCCCTTTGTCATTCTGTCCTTCCTGCTCCCCTCAAATTGGGTGATTATTGTGTATATGAAAACCAGTATAGAAAACAACAGCAAGAAAAAAATGGCATATTCACTGAAATAATCAACTACAAATTGAATACTAGTATGTTAGTCCAAAATCGAGAGTATATATTGCACAGTGTGGAAAAGCATGTGTAAAAATAGCTCTAGACATGTTTTGATAACCATTTTTCAGAATGAGCAGCATTCCAAATAGCACTGTTTTTAACACTTGGACAGCTACACTCGCAGCTCCCCCTGGGATTCGTCAAGAGTGCTGTGTAGCTGTCCGTGGCTCTGAAACAGTCAAATTTGATTTTATTGTGGTGGTGTACTAAATTGTTGTCATCTGACCTCGTTGCCATGGACACACATATGGTGTGTGGTGACGAGGGCCTTGAAGACGACAATCCAGCGTGGCAATTGGGTGGCCCAAGAAGTACAATCAAAGCAAAGTGTCAAGCCATCTGGAGGGATGTTCACATTGGTCGCATTGGTGGCCGAGATCAGATCTGAAACACAAAGATAGGTTAGTTTGCACTGGAGGGAGGTTGTTACGTTCAGAATCAGTGAAACTGTTCTGTTATTGATTCACGATCAGTGAAACAGTCAGCCATTTTGAGACAGTGGAATATAGCAGGATTCATTTTGATCCAGAGTTGTAAAATCATGATGAGTTAGTACTAATTCAAAGTGTTAAGACATGCTGACCACCAAGAAAATATGTAATGTGCTGCCATAGCTGATAGTGAAGCTAGCCTCACATTGGGTCAAATGAGTTTGCTTCAGTCTGGATCCATATGCTCTGTGGATTTGTAAAATGTGTAAAGTACTATACCCTCTGGGAGTTCTTCACTTCACTGTGTACCTCATGGAGCTAAGCATTGCAAACATATATTTAAGAGTCAGGACACACATACCAAGCCTCAAAGAACAACACACACTGGTGGAGAGGATCCAATACACAGGAAGAAATAATGCTTTGTCATCCTTGTCTCCCCCATAGAAGAGAGACTGCCACTCAGACAGACAGACAGGTCTGACTCAGAGAGCAATCCCCTCTGAAACACGTCAACTCAGCCCTCTGGGAGATACTATATGACAGACTAGCTGCTCGGGAAAGAGAGAGAGCGGGATTTGAGATTTCATCTGGCCTTTATTGGTATCTTTTATCACACACCACCTATGGGTGTCATGCACCTATTATTTTATAGGGGGCGTGAAGTACGAGAGGATGGAGGGAATACTCTGTCTTATTACAGAGTATTCCTTATTAGTATTACAGAGAAACAACAAAACATTTTAGTTTTATTTATTCATCAAGAAGGAACCAATGGGCTACACAGCTTGATCAAATTCATGTACAAACATACCTCCTGCCCATCACCGGCAGCTCAAATCAAATCAAACACTGTGTGTTTCACTCTACACTCTCCTCCTCCACTGGCGATACGGCACGAACTAGAGTATCTAGCGTCCTGCCTAGGCATCTCTGTGCTCTGTGCACCTTGGAAAGAACCACTTACTAGGGAGAATGGGGGGGGGTTACTCTTTGCCTGGTCCAGTCAGTGTGCCCCCCACAAAATACCGCTGACAAATCTTTGAATAAATAATTTTGAAATGTGGGCTGAAAAATCAAGTAATTAATTTAACATCTGAAAAAGAAAAGAAAACATGACAATTTCTGAGGGGCCACGTGCCTTTGTGCCCCCTATGGGCATGACGCGACTGTGTACACCAACCATCCCTCCTAGGATAGAGAAGGTTGCTATAATCATAGCCAAACCATGTTTATGTCCTGCCAAAAGCTGGAAGGCTGAAATAATATCAATTATTGTCCAATACTGACTAGACTGAAAAGAGAGAGAGAATGCATGAAGAGGAAGGCTTGTAGGTCATTTCAGGATTAAAGACTGAGGGGCAGGGGCTTTGTCCACAGATTAATATAATGATGACCCCTCCCCCAACAGCCACACACACTCACACAAACACCATGATGTGCTAATTTCATCTCCAGTTAACAGCTTTTATGTCCAGTGTTTGTCTAACGTTGACGGATGTACAGACTACATTGAGTCACATCTGGGATATTTAGCAGATAATCTCCTTATCACTTCCTAGAATGGTCATAATAACATCACAGTACACAGTGACAGGCCTGACGACTGATGTCATTATTCCTCTATGGACCTCACATGATTTACATCATATCCTGTTTGGATAGTCCCTGTCCCTGTCCCAGCTCTGCTCTGCACCACAACTCAACCATATATCCCATTTCAACAGGCAACCCTGTTGTGTGTTGTTTATGTGTGGATTATTTAATGTCAATAGAGAGAAACAATAATATTTGTGGCCCATCACATATACACACACACACTGCTCTGTGGTGCATGTATGTCTAATGATGATTGACTGATCTAAATAAAGACTCTTTCAGTAGACCCATAGGGGGTCTATAACAAGAAAAACAGGACTGTGTGTGTGTGTTCATGCATGCATGCGGGTGTGCATGAGTGTGTGCATGCCTGTTTGGGTGTGTGTGTGTGTGTTTGTGTCTCTTTGTACTCAAACACCAGGGCCTCGTTTCCCAGTTGCGATATAATTTAAGCATTACGATGTACCAGATGCATCGTTATTTACGAGGCAACTTTTTTAAAGAGTGTTTCCCAAGCACATAGAGAGAACGTTTGCTAAGTGCGTCGTTAGACCATGTGTCGATACTGATAGGATGGAAAGAAAAGCAGCGCTGCTCTCTGATCAGCTTTCTCCCTTCAAATCTTATCTTAACATTAGAATGATTCCACAATACGGGTGATAGATCAGCTCCTAGAGAGATATTGAGGTGGCTTACTATGCTTACCCAATAATAATGCACTAAATCCCAGATTGGGCACATTATTGCGCACGTCACATCATGAAACACATTGAAGCACAAATTACAGACAGTAGCCTAGTTGCAAAATAGAACTCAATTGATTGAACATGAAATATATTTAAATATGATTGAAATAGCCAATATAGGTCCATGTAGACTATTTATACAATAGGTACACCAAACATTAGGAACACCTTCCTAATATTGAGTTGCAACCTCCCCTCTTGCCCTCAGAAAAAGCCTCAATTCGTCAGTGCATGGACTTTACTAGGTGTCGAAAGCGTTCCACAGGGTTGCTGGCCCACGTTGACTCTAATGCTTCCCACAGCTGTGTCAAGTTGGCTGGTTGTCCTTTGGGTGGTGGACCATTCTTGATACACACGGGAAACTGTTCAGTGTGAAAAACCCAGCAGCACTGCAGTTCTTGACACAAACTACTACCATACACCGTTCAAAGGCACTTAAATATTTTGTCTTGCCCATTCACCCTCTGAATGGCACACATACACAATCCATGTCTCCATTGTCTCAAGGCTTAAAAATCCTTATTTAACATGTTTTTAAACGGTTTCCTCCCAATAAGAAATCTGCGAAGTGTGGACAAATTAGTTGTTTTATTGAAAGCGTACGGCCAAATAAGCTATTTTTGTCAAAAGTACTATCGGCTTTGAGTCAGGAAATTTGTACTTTTCCACCTAAAATATTTGTGATTATTTTATATAATTATTTTATGTAGCCGACTGCCACAGCAGCGGAGATGGGTAACAACTGCTCATGTGCGCCCTCGTGGCATAGACCCTGCTACGTAGAAACATCACGATACATGTAGGTAGAAAAGTACACATTTCCTGACTCAAACTGATAGCTAATTTGGCCGTACGCTTTCAATAAAACATCTAATTTGTCCACACCGCAAATTTCTGAATCATGAATTCACTGGCAACGGAGCAGAGCGAGGCCTGCATCCAGCAATGTCTTGAGTCACGTGATCCGTTTCAGTGCAGCACTACAGAGAGAGAGAGGGGGAGAGGGCAAACTCCACTGAACTAGTTTCAATGTACAGTGCATTCAGAAAGTATTCAGACCCCTTTACTTTTTCCACATTTTGTCACGTTACAGCCTTATTCTAAAATTGATTAAATCATTTTTTCCCCTCATCAATCTACACACAATACCCCATAATGACAAAGAAAAAACAGGTTTTTAGACATTTTAGCAAATTAATAAAAAATAAAAAACTGAAATATCACAATTGCAGAGATGTTTGTCCTTCTGGAAGGTTCTCCCATCTCCACAGAGAAACTCTGGAGCTCTATCAGATTGACTATCGGGTTCTTAGTCACCTCCCTGACCAAGGCCCTTCTCCCCCGATTGCTCAGTTTGGCCGGGGCGGCAGGCTCTAGGAAGAGTCTCTCTCTCCCTCTCTCCCTCCCATCCCGGAGGACCTGAGCCCTAGGACCATGCCTCAGGACTACCTGGCCTGATGACTCCTTGCTGTCCCCAGTCCACCTGGTCGTGCTGCTGCTCCAGTTTTCACTCTTCTTTCTGCCCGCGGCTATGGAACACGGACCTGTTCACCAGGCGTGCTACCTTGTCCCAGACCTGCTGTTTTCAACTTCCTAAATGCCCGGCTATGAAAGGCCAAGTGACGTTTACTCCTGATGTACTGACCTGTTGCAACCTCTACAACCACTGGGATTATTATTTGACCCTGCTGGTCATCTATGAACGTTTGAACATCTTGGAGAAAAATCTGGCCTTAATGGCCATGTACTCTTATAATCTCCACCCGGCACAGCCAGAAGGGGACTGGCCACCCCTCAGAGCCTGGTTCCTCTCTAGGTTTCTTCCAAGGTTTCTGCCTTTCTAGGGAGTTTTTCCTAGCCACCGTGCTTCTACATCTGCATTGCTTGCTGTTTGGGGTTTTAGTCTGGATTTCTGTATAGCACTTTGTGACATCTGCTGATGTAAAAAGGGCTTTATAAATAAAATGTGATTGATAAAATGTGATTGGTGGTTCCAAACTTCTTCCATTTAAGAATGAATGATGGAGGCAAAAAAAAAAAAAAATGAAGAAGAATGATGGAGGCCACTGTGTTCTTGGGGACCTTCAATGCTGCAGAAATGTTTTGGTACCCTTCCTCAGATCTGTGCTTCGACACAATCCTGTCTCGGAGCTCTACAGATAATTCCTTCAACCTCATGGCTTGGTTTTTGCTCTGAAATGCACTGTCAACTGTGGGACCTTATATAGACAGGTGTGTGCCTTTCCAAATCATGTCCAAGCAATTTAATTTACCACAGGTGGACTCCAATCAAGTTGTAGAAACATCTCAAGGATGATCAATGGAAACAGGATGCACCTGAGCTCAATTTTGAGTCTCATAGCAAAGGGTCTGAATACTTATGTAAATAAGGTATTTCTGTTTTTGTTTTTTATAAATTTGCAAACATTTGTAAAAATGTTTTAGAATAAGGCTGTAACGTAACAAAATGTGAAAAAAGTCTAGGGGTCTGAATACTTTACGAATGCACTGTATACTATTGTTTACTCACTGTATTCTCGACATGGCTCATCCTAATATACTGTACCTACAAAAGTGTGCACCAATATTGAATTTTAAAAGCCTCT